CCCCCCCGCGGCCCGGGGGGGGGGCGGAGGCCGGCGGCTTTATCAAGGTCCCCCGGCGGGGCAAACGGAAGCGACGGGCGGCCGAGCTGGAGCGGGGCGGGGCCCCCATGGACACGGGGCAGCCCCGGCCCAGCAAGAGGCCCAACTTCCCCCCCGTCTCCGCGGACGCGCTCAGGGTGAGACGGGACGCGCCGGGCCTTGGGCCTAATCTCGGGGGTGTCGCTCCGGGGCCCCGCGCTGCCCGGTCCGCTGTCACCGAGCCCTGCTCGCCGGGGGCCGCCATGGGGGAGAAGCTCCCCTGCGCCGCCTCCGTGCCAAGGCCGAGCTCCTAGCGTGGCTCACAGCTGGGTCCGGCCGCCAGCCGTGTGGCAGCCCGGGGTTTGGGGGGGGGGGGTGTCCTGTCGCCTTAGGGCTGTAGATAAGGGCGCAGTGGGAGTACCGGGGGCAGCGGAGACGTTGTTAGGTTTCACCTCCCTGCCGATGAAGCTGTCGTGTTGAGGGATGTTGTTAATTTGAAAGCTGATTTATTTATTTTTTTAAGCAAGAAAAGTAGTCGAGGGCGCTAGACCTAATCTTGACTCCACCCGTAAACTTCTCTGGTTTTGCGGCTACGGAATTGTTTCATGGGTTTTCTCCTTTTGTTTTTTGTATACACACATGATAAATGACCGTGCTGGGAAATAATGAGACCAGTAAGTCGTGTGCTGAAGGATGTAACTAGAAAAAAGCAGCCACTTTCTCCTCTTTTCAGCTCAAGTGATATTAGAAATAATAGGTACACATTTTTAGATGGAAGTGTAACTTTTCAGTGGACTATGTCCCTTTAGCTAGAATTTAGATTTCCGGTTTTATAGTAATTTTTGCAGAGACACTTTTTCTCCAGTGAAGATGAGCTTGTTAACTTGGTACTGAAGAGCATTGTTTTGAAACTAAGCAAGAGTAGTTGGGGAAACATTTGCAGCAAGAAGTTTCAGCTTTTTAAAAGTTGAAGTAATTGCTAATAACTCTCCAGTACCCTGGCACTGCCTGTTTCCAGTAAAATTGCACTAAAGCTAATCTTTTAAATTAAAGATTGATATGGTACACAGATAAAGAAGGGAAAGTATCTACAACGAGGTGTCATGTTTGAATGATCTAAACCTAAAAGTTTTGCTAAGAATTTTGAGATACATACAGTCCATAATGAGCATTGACCTAGATTTAGATGTGCAAGTTAAACAGTACAATT